GATAATAATCTCACCCTTTAGACAATCCCATTTCTGAGGTGAGCCCCGCTAAGCCCCGCTTTCGACTTCCTTCAGAATCGTAGCGGCGCTTTGGAAGCGAGTGCGCCCTATACAAGGGGTTGCGGTGACCACAATAAACAAAACAATGCATTCATCCTTCCAGACGAGTCCTTCACAAATTGGACGACTTACACGACTTGTTTGTCAGAGAAATGGAAGCATAGACTTGGGAAGTACCGACCCGAAGTTAGAACTTTACACTATAGGCGCGGGGTAGAGCGCGGCTTACCACTACATTACCTTCACAAAGCGGTCATTTTCTTCTCGCGAACATATGAGGCAGCTTTGAGATTACCGGTTGCTTTGGGCACCTAGAAAGTTTCGAAAAAAAACCAATCAGTCGGAGTGCTAGGGCAGTCGAGCGAAATCCACATCGAAACAATTTTTACAAAGTAACTGGTAAGTCACTAAAGGCTTTGCCCTTAATGCTCCCTTCAACCAAACTGGGATCTTGTAAATGAAAAAAGATTTTTTACTGTTCAGAATTATCGTCGACGTTGTGATGAACCACATGGTTGGAGTGGGCCAGAAATCTGGTGTCAATGGGCGCTGCTCCAGCGCTGGCAGCACATTTGACGGGACCGACGGTGTTGAGTCGTTCCCTGATGTAAGTGCTCAGTGAAATACCTTCCTTTTGATTATTAAATCTCTTAACATTTGAGGTACCCTATACGAAATCTGACTTCAACGATTTCCGATGTCATGGCGACATTCAGGGTAGCGATTATCAGAACAGTGCTGAACACGTGGGTGATCGATCGTTCCTTCTTTCCCACATTTCATTTCTTTCATTTTTCTAAACGAAAAGGGGTGGATAAGAATCGCAGGCAGCCTTGTTCGCCTTTTTCGACGCTGAAAAGCCTACTAAGATGTCAAGAAGTATGACAGTTTGTAATACGCTTGAGTATGGGTTTGATTTGATAGAGACGAGCAATCGAGCTGGGTTGCTACGGCTCAGAAATGCCCTAGGCTTGTAAATCGAATACAATCTACGGTGTTCAGTTGATGTCTTCGCTTCGTTACTGGAAACGACTAGGAAGATGAACTCTCTAGCGTTCCTCCTTCAGGTGAAAAACTGTCGTCTCTCTGGATTATTGGACCTAAATCAAGGCGACGCAACGGTTCGATCCAAACTGGTTGCCTACCTCGACAAACTGATTGATTACGGTGTAGCGGGTTTCCGGTAAGAAACTGATTTTTACTGCTAGGCATAAAACGATTCGACAGTCTCTTTGGAACCGTCACTAGCAATTTAATAGGTCAGTATACAATTCAGAAACAGGACCTATGGTCCCACTGGCTGGAGCATCTCAAATGATATCGAGAATATCAGCCTCAAATTTTGCTGTAATCCAAATTCTTTCTTTTTTGAGGTGCGATGCATCAAAACACATGTGGCCAGGTGATCTAGGAGCGATTCTGAATGCTACGAAAAATTTAAGAGCAGATGTGAGTTTATGAGTTGACCATTTAAATAGCTTGCCACATCAGAACTTAAAATAGACAAGAGGGCCACAGCTCCACAAGTCATGAGGGTCATGTTCTGAACGATTCGTTAGATAGCACTAGAGAACCTTGTTGCTCCTTTCCAACTCGACACTTTTGTTTTCTTTTGAATAAAACCATACTCCTAGGTAGGGAACTTGTGAACAACTAGAGCCATAGCAATTGATCGTATTCCGAGAAAGGAGAGACTCCCAGAAAGTTCTATGGAGGGCTTTGTACCCGAATTCCCATGGTCGCACACATGCGCACGCTTCAGTGGCCTCGCAGCAGTTGCCGTAATTTTTCACTGAGCATTTGGATCTCACCCTAACACGGCGCGGTTGCGGCACCGAGAGGAGGGCGCAGCCTCTCGGGTGCAAAGTCTCACACCCTAGGATACTGATATTTGATATTTGCCATAGTTAAGTGCACCCATGTCGGCACACCTTGCTAACAAGCTGAAAATTTTTGCAGGATCATAGAATAGGGAGTGAGCTAATATGTGCTACAAAATAAAGTTCAACAAGCCATGGGCACTTTCCTCAGAAAGCTTACTTTGTACAAATTTCAGATTTTCGGGGCCAACCAGCGTCCATTTGTTGTCCACGAAGTCATCGATAGAGGTGGTGAAGCTGTAAAATGCGCTGATTACCTCGGAATCGGAAGGTGTGCAGCAGATTTGGCAGGCGTTTCCTGATATTTCGATTGTTTAATTTGGCAAATGTGTTCCATTCAGATACACAAACTTCAATTTCGGTGCTGCTGTCTCATCAGCTGCAAAAGGACAAAGCGATTGGAAGTGAGATTGTTGCAGTTCTTCAGAGACGTTTTACGACTAGTCCAAAATTTGCCTTATCCAGGCTGCTCTCTAATCTCGGTCCTGGATATCAGTACGGAAACAATGCAGACCACGATGTGTTGAACTTTATCGACAACCATGACAACCAACGGGATTCAAATCCATATGTGGTACGTCGTGGACTTTTTGTCAATGTTCGATTGAATGACTTACCTTTCGAGTATGTCCGATTGAGTGACTTTATTCTCGTATGATAAGGAAACAGGGCACAATTCATGATAATCTCGTGGTACCATCTTCAAGTTCCATAACGGAAGTGTTGCAGCCGATAGTACAAAGGTGACGAAGAAAGCGAAAAATCGGCATAATTCATGGAATTCAAAGTCTCTCAAAATTAGCCCAATTTGTGGGCTGTGCGAGATAATGATAACGGAAGGGTTGTTCAAAAGAAGTTGGGGTGTGCGCTTTGGTGTGAGGAGGTAGCTAAATTACTCTGCTGCCAAAAGTTGTTTTGCACTTTACCCATTGGTCAGGGCTCTAGAAGATTGACTGTTCAATAACTTTAACATGTGTGCTCTGGCGAAACGCGGCCGCTTTGGGGTGTGGCTTCTGGAGCTTTTCGTCTTTCAGTGCTTCCTATGCCAATCCTTGACCATTTTTCGACTCGGCATGTTGAATCCCCAAGGGTCGAAGATTCGTCGATGTACCGAGTCCTATATCGTGAACTGTGCCTCCTGAGGCTCAGAAAGAACGTAGTTTTCCACATCCGCGATTTCAACGTTTCCATGTAAACAAGAAATCGAAAGTTAGTGAAGTTTTAAAACGCGCTAAATTTTTTTGATTTCAGGTCACTTACAAAGACGGGGACAAGTATCGCTTAGCTGTAGCATACATGTTAGCATGGCCATATGGTTATCCAAGGGTGATGAGCAGTTACTACTTCACACAACATGATCAAGGACCACCAAATTCGGGAGCCTCAAACGGATACGCGGTATTGAACTTTCTCACTATACTTTATTGCTTATTTTATTGTTCCTGAATCGGTTAAGTGGGGGAAGGGGGTCCACTTGAGAAGTCGGGTAGTTGGATGAATCAAACCATACAATGAAAAAATTTGAGAGCCTCTGAGCACTGATCATTGCAGACAACTTCTCCAACATTCAACAGTCAGGATGACACTTGTAACGCAAATTCTGGATGGGTATGTGAACATCGTTGGCCAACAATAAGGTAATTTAGGAAGCCACCGATGGTGAAAATAGTAATGATACACCTCATTCCAGAGAAATGGCCAAGTTCCGCTCAGCAGTACAAGGATCAGCAGCAGCCGAGGTGATGTGCTTTTTGCGTTCCTCTTGAGTCATACCAATTAAGGCAGATCGCAAAATCAAATTCTGAAGAACACAGAGTAGAGGAATGAGATGGATTTTTCTCCTCATGCCCTTGACCTATCATCTAAACTCAATCTCATTCCACATTCCAAGTCCCACATTTTGTGTAGTTTCACGAGCGGAGAGTTCTTTCGTGGGATACCCAATATTCGGTCATTCTCTAGTGTGCTAAATACGCTTCTTTCGTAGTGGTCCCAACTGTTGGGCCCATCGTCCGGGGATCGAATACCGAGTCGATATTGAGACTGACTACAAGCAAACTCTCCAGCCCTGCGCGCTCACTTGATTAGTATTACACTAGTTTGTAAGTATAAAAGCCCTGGCTTGCACATCAGCTGGCCCTGCAACTCATTGTATAGGCTACGTACGCATTCAAACGATACTGCGATTTTGAATGGGAGTCGAAAGTGAGTCTCATCTCAGATACAAGATTGAATAACGGCAAATGATTTTAAAGACTTTAAGATAACTACGGATAGCTTAAATGTAGGATGTCGAGCTGGCTTAGCAGTAATAACCAAGCAAAGGCGAAATGGTTTACTGCCTACTGTGTACCCGATTATGTTTGAAAAGGCCCATTGCCCATGGCCAGTCTCCGTCTGTATTATCATAGCATGTAGCTACCCCAAACTGAGAACTTCATTTCAATGAATTAGCAATTCAGAAATACAGTTCGATCATTAAGGGACTGCCCTAGGTTAGCTCTACCTGTAGGTTTGGCAAAAATAACTTGATAAACCAGCCCAGGCCAAGGAAAGTGACCATTCCAATTGAACTGGGTATTCAAAAATGAAAACTAATGCTCAATGTTCCAGAGAGTTAGGGCATTGCTTTGAAGTACTCATGGTTATAATTGATAATTGAGAAGGTTCAGATATTCACCGACTATCAGAGGATTGCTTTCGCCAGAGAAGGGAAAGGATTTTTCGCTCTCAATGGACAAAGTAAGGTATTCAGCAAGTAAGTATCTTTCATCGTTCCCACTTTCGGCGTACTCAGCTTTTTGGATTGTGATGCAAACAGTTCCTGTCTACTCCTTTTTTCGCTTTTCTTTTTGGAGAGTTGAGGTGACTCAGTGATAAGTGACCGCACCAGGCACCCATGGTTTAGAGTTGAAAGTCTATGCTAAATCTTGGCTGTCAAATTGAGTCATGTGTGTGTGAATGTGCATCTTAATCCTCAGGACCCTCAGCTCTTTCATTAAAAACAGATTTGAGTAAGTTTCTTACGAAGGGGTTAGAATCAGTGGCGCTAGAATGCTGTACGGCAGTAATCTATGGAAACCCATGTCTTAGGCGAGAATCGACAAGAGCGTACTGTAGTCCATGAAATTTTGAGAATGATGAGTAATACTGCTTCCCTAAAATGAAGATGGTTCAGATTCTTCCAAACTACCTTGCCCGCCGGTGATTATTGTGATCAATATGCGGGCAGTTTGAAGAATGGCAAATGTACGGGCCAAACGGTTACTGTAAATAGCGACGGTGAGAGCTTTTATCCAAATAGATAGCGTCCCTTAAGACTGAGTGTTGTGATAATAGAAATCCCCTAAGATCATTCCTGTTTCCAGGTACGACCTACCTACAAATCGGAAGCAATCAAGCTGTAGCCATTTCACTCGCTTCTCGAATAGGTATTAATTTTGGTTAACCTGAACCCATGAGGACACAAATGTTTTCTGATGCAGGTGGTGCTCCTCCACCGGCCCCCGTGCCAACTGGTTACCAAAAGACTGTGATACTTCTGAAGAAGGATACCAATCTGGGACAAAACCTTTTCATCCGTGGAGGCATCAGCCACGCCAACAAAGATGGTAAGGAGATGGTCATGATGGAAAACATGTACGCAAAATGCAATTTTTAGTCTGCTCTCCCGGTCCGTATCAGCAAACGACTGATGCATGTGCCATTCCTATTGTGCATAACACTACTGTACCATTTGTCTATGCTGAGTATTTGTCATGGAGCCAAGGAGATCAGTTCCTGGATTTCGAAGGAGCTGAAGAAAGACAAGGTTGTTCTATGAAAGTTTATTTTTCCTGCTTCGATATCAACCCAGCTCAACCAGGTAATCATCCTCCCGACGTCGATTAGGTACTACCAAACCCATCTGTGAGGATGAAAGCTTTGCCTTGTACATTGGGCGATCATCGGAAGGCATTGTATGGGTCACATACGCATTCGTAAAGGTCACTAGAATTTTNAATGGTGATCGAGTACGAGGCGCATCTCTTAGACGGAATTGTTGAACGTCAAACATTTTCTCATCTTGTCCAAACTCACTATAATCGAAAACGTCTCAAAGTATTCCGATATTCGAGTATGCCTTTTGATAGTGTACATGTACTTTAAGTTAATCTGAGTCGATCTTTTGTATAGGAACTTATGACGGCACTGCACCGTTCGGTACTCCACTGGCATACTCAACAAATGACCCCACTGCCGTAGAATATCAACCTTATAATAAATATGGAAGTGGATATTGGATGGCGGAATTGCTTATCGATTGCAAGAAAACTGATAATGGCTGGTTCGAACTAAAGGTGAGCGGACTTCGGGAAGTTGGTGGATCTTCGATTTTCGTCAAGTCCCTATTTCAGGGTTATTTATCTCCATCGGTCGGATGGGAGCAAGACATCAGTCAAAAGGCATGTACCGGTGCTGTAGGTGGAACTGCTCCATTTTCATCGAGAAATCATATTGCAAAATGTGGAGCCGTTAATGTGTTCACTTGGGGTAGCGGAAGTTGTATCATAGATTCGGTTTAGATATCTATCACTGAATAAAGTCGAAGCAAATAGTCTGTTGAGCTTACATGATCCTTTTCTAATTCGCTAAGTAAGCATGTGCACGACAGACTTTTCAGCCGATGAGGATTGTCAATGTGTAAATGGTTGAGAGATCTACTAGAGTAACCCAAATGTCTCGATTCAAAATTACCGAATTCGGATCCAAGCAACAAACGCGCATCAGCACAGAAGCCATAGTTCCACCACAGATCAGCTGCAGAATTCTTGGAACTCTAAAGGCTGAGGGTAAGATGAAATTGGGAGAGGGGCAGCGGGTGTCGCAGTTCCTTAACGGTAGGCGCTATAGCGCAGAGAATGAGGGGTAGCCAGTTTTGCAGGCCCGTAATGGTGCTCCTCGAGTAGAATTTGTTTTCTAGCCCTCTATCGCTCACACTTTTGAAAAGAAATTAATCAGTGGTCAATTAAAATTTCACTTTTTCCCTCATTACATGAAGTGAACATTTCTCCCATCTCCGTATTTCTACAATCTTGAGACTTAGTTGAAAAGATAAATTCCCCGGGCCAGAAACTTTTCCAAGCACCATTACAGGCTCGACCAGCCGGCTACCTTCCTTTTCTGCACTATGGCGCCTTGTGCTGAAAAAGAGGGTGCACCTTCCTCCACAACTATGAATGCACATTTTTACTGCCCAACGACTCTAAAAAGAGTAGCTGCCGCTCTCAGTTGGAGCTTCGTATTTCGACACATTTGTAAACTTGACTTGGAGTTCCACTGCTACCATTCGCAAATTAAACATTTTCTTGCACAGCACATCTTACAAACAATTATTTGACTACTACTCAAAGCATAATCGGTGTGCCACAATCGCTTTTCGAAATGATGCACAGAATCATCCTGTCGACGATGTTTACTTTTATCCATAATACCCTAGAAGTAAATTAGTTGAAAATTTCCGACAAGCAGCGTCCAGTACATCTGAAAATTCACAATGACTCACCTCCATATCTACCATAGCCCATGTTTCCGTACCAACCGTAAGAGGGAGGTGGAGGTGGTGGAGGTGGAGGAGGCGGTGGTGGAGGCGGTGGTGGCGGAGGAGGTGGGGGAGGAGGTGGTGGAGGAGGTGGAGGTGGTGGAGGA